TATTGGCAACAGAAAGGTTTTGCATAGATTGCGATCTATCAACGCCATACACTCGTTGCCATACAATTCCGTCTATTCGCGATCCATCCAGAACATTCAAATTATTTGGTTTCTCTTACCGCACTGATATCCAAATTGCGGACACCAGGAGTAGAAACGCGGTGCCAGACTCAGAATCCCAGAACAGAAACCGTCTCGAATATCTTGCCGTTACGCGGAAACCACAAAACGCGCGTTCTACTAAGAGCCTTGGCATGTATAACTTCCTCTCCTCTAAACACGCCTATCCAATCTTATATCACTCACGAGACTCATGACACGCTAAGTTCGTTATATCATGGAATATGAGTTTTAAAGACTTGGCTAAAACATTTTGAACATTTATCTTTTATCTTTGTTCCTTTTGAAGAGGAAAAAAAAGTATTTCTCTTACGAAATACTTACAGATAATATAATTCACGACGAAATAAAGAACTTAGAATAATTTCGATTTTAACAATCGGTAATGTTAATCTCGTAATCAAAATTATTTCATTCGTTTACAGGCACGTTGATTTTCATCTATCGAATCGCTATGCCAAATATTAAAACGACAAAAATTAATTGATACTGAATTTTATATATTAAATGTAAAATTGTTTCATGGGAAATTTTATTTTAATTTATACATTAAAACAAACGTATATCGATGTCTTCGTTTATTTTAAAAATTATACAATCGATTCTTTCTCACGTTCTCTCCAAGACGATACGTGCTACCACTTTCCATCGTTCTCGTCAAAAGAGGATCTAATGCTGTTCAGAAAGGACGTCAAACTCATAGCCTGTCCGAGTGTGTAAATCGAAATGATGACGAAAAGTGGACGTTCTTACAGAGCCCTCCGAAGCTTTGCCTTTGTCGACCAACGTGCATGTAAATCGACTGTTTAACTCAACTGGTATCCCTAATTTCGTAATTCATTTACATGCTTAACGCACAAAGCGGCTTTATACTCGTGAAAGTTCAAGCGTACGATGAATACGCGAGGATAAAGAAACGAAGATAGACTATAATGGAGATAAAGAGAAAGTCTTGTTGATAGAAAGGAGATAGACAAACGAACAAGGAGAAGGAAGCAAGAGAAAGATAGAATGAGGTTGACCGTGCTAGTACAGTTAATGTACAAGGAGTGACTGTAAATAAATTAGCCGTTCTCATGAACAAACTCGAGAGAAAACAAACACGGAAGATCAAGGACCTTTCTTCGTTTTAAGGACGTCTAATATTATTTTCAAGGATTTTCAGAGAGATATCGAAATTTTTCTTTTTTCTTTCTTTTTTTTTCACATTAAACGTATGTTTCATCTTTTACTATGCATTACGCATACTTTCTACGTCTTTAAATTGTCCATTTCGTTTAAACGTAATAATGTTAAATAATGGAAATTGAATGATCATACTTAGAAAATGGATTGTTTTAAGAAGAAACAGCTTTTGCGGAATGATGTCACTTGAAATTCTAAACAACGAAAGCTCGAATTCTAGAAATTATAACTTTACAACTATGAGTAACTTCTCGAAAACGTCAGAAACCGAAGCTACTCATGCTCACCTGTATTTCAAACTACCTCGTTTGAACATACACGAAAATTTCTAGTTTCCTCGAACGAAGTACGACTGCCGATCATCGAGCAGCCTAATGTCAGTTTCGAGTACTTACACGGATAAACTTGGAGAGGATCCGATTTTCATTCGCACTCGATTTCATCTCGAAACTAATTCTGCTCTCAAAAGGAGAAACTTCAATGATGTTCGGCCTTACGTAATATCCACTTAAAGTCTTAAAGTTGTATCTAATTTAAACGTAAATTATAATCGAGTGTCGAGAGGTAAATTAAAAAATATATTTATATATATGTGTGTGTGTGTGTGTATAAACGTAATAAAAATGTCTATTTTCAAAGTATTTTCGAACGTGTCTTCACGTCTCTGAATCCCAACAAGAACTGAATTTATCGATGATAAATACTAGCTTCAACGTTTGACCTTTGGAACAAGCAAGGTATACGAGCGAGTATACCTTGTAAATAAACAAATAAATGAAACGAACGAAAAGTCGAACGTATTCCTTTTTCATGAACCTTCGAAAGGAGAAAGAGAAGATAGATCGATAATCCAACCTTGCATCTTCTCGTTCGAACGTATAACGTTAATTTTGTGAACGCCAAAGGATAGAGTTAATTTATCAAGTCGAAACTTGGAAACTTTTCGATCAGTCCAACAACGCGATTCAATGGTCAGAAGCAAGTTTACTTTTTCGAATTACGATTTCTCGATCGTTGGAACTAAAAATTCTCTTTCAGTTTTCTTTTCCTCTCTCTCTCTCTCTCTCTCTCTCTGTTTCTTTTCTTTTTTTTTCTTCCTAAATTCTTTCTCCATTTTTGTTAAATACATTTTTAATTTCGTTCGTGCAAATTTCATCAAGGATAGAAGATTTCTTGATAAAGTGAGCTAGCACATTTATTAAAACTTCAAACTTCATATATATATATATATATATAGAAAAGAAAAAATCTTTTTAAAGAAAGCAGCAGTATATAGGATGAGTCATCATCGGTTTTCACATTTTTATGCTAATTCTACGACGCTCTTGAAGAAGCAGACAATAGTGAAAAAGTTTATCTCCCAGTACGAAAATATTTTGCCGCCTCTGCTTAATAATTAAGCTATGCATAAAGAAAAAGAGAGAAAGATGGAGAAAGGGAGGGAGAGAGAAGAGAATATAACGGACCGACAGAGCCATTCGCATAGTTGAGATAAATCGATAAACCAACTGGTGGTTAAAACGCATCGGAACGTTTGCCTTTCCGCCCTGCCATTTTTACTCTCTACGAAAACACGGAATTGTTTTCTCTCAATTTTCAAATACATATGAATTCCGTTCGGAAAACCACAAAGACTATATGGTGATATATGTATGCATATAAATACCGTGTGTTTCTAAAGTGATGGTACGCAACATTTGAAGAAAAAATAATCAGGAAAATTTTATATTCAAAATATGAACCCTTAAAACATTAATATATATTTTACATCAACATATTACCATGATAAATTTTAATGTTGATATTTTTAAAAAGAAAAAAAAAAGAAGAAGATAAGAAAGATAGGAGGATGGAAAAACAAATTTGTTTATTTTATATCGACTTCGTAGAACTGTGAAAATTCATGAATAATCTTAAATAAAAATTCATTATAATAAATTTATAATATCAGTTATCGTATCGTCTGACATTGCAATTCGAAGATAGAAAATATTTTTGTACGTTTTAGTTGGCATCATTTTAGAAACACCCTATACACGGTAACACGTACATACATATCTAGCTAAGTACGTAGATACATACATATTTTCGTTGGGTGAGACAACGTCAGGAAATTAAGCGGGTAGTCTCAAGGGTGACATTTCGTACTTCAAACTTCTGCCAGGCGAAACTTTTCTCGACATTGTACTTAGATTTATCTCTTCCGAAGTGTCGAACTGCTTTCGAGAGAGAAAGAGAGAGAATAGGATAGAACTAAAGTAAAGGATAGAGGGAGGAGGGAGGAAAAAGAGAGAAAGAGAGAGAGAGAGAGAGAGAGAGAGAGAGAAAGAGAGCGTACTTTGAAAGCTAGAAGAGGCATCGAGGCTGCCGCGGTCAGAAATAAATTATTGCCGACCGTGACTAGTGTACAAACAGCGCATTCTCAGGATAAAAGGGCTAGAGTACGCCGCGAGAAGATCGTGATGTATGATGTAACAAGGAAATAAAAACAAAAAAAAAAAAGAAGAATAAGAATAAAAAATAAAAAAAGAAATAAAAAAAAGAAAAAAGAAAAAAAGAAAGAAAGAATAAGAAAAGAAAGAACAAACGTTCCTAAAACTTTATTTCTTTGGTAGAGAGACCTCTCTCTCTCTCTCTCTCTCTCTCTCTCTCTCTCTCTCTCTCTCTCTCTCTCTCTCTCTCTCTCTCTCTCGTCTTAACATTTCTTTATTACATTTATATGACATTCGTTCTATATACTCTCTTCGACTATTCTTTATTTCTTCTTAAAGGAAACTTTTGGAAAAACAAGGTTTTTGGAAAAAAAGGAAAAGAATCTATTATTTTTACGATTACTTATACAATCTACCAACATCCTATTTCTTAAACTTGTTCCTTCCTGTCGATACATTTAAATAATATAAATTAGCTTCGAATATCAATGTACCGGCGTTTCCATTACATTTGCATATTTTTAGAATTGAAATCTATCGTTTCTATACGCTCCTCTATAACGTTTCATTTTCACACCAACCAGTAACTGCAGCTAGGATTTTATATCGCAATGAGGAACATTCGTATGCGTTCGTCGAAGGGAAAAAGGAGAGGTATAGAAAAAAAAAAAAAAAAAGAAAAAAGAAACAATAAAAAAAGGAAGGTAAAAGAGAAGAAGGAAGGAAGGAAGGAAGGAAAGAGACAAAATAAAAAAAAAAAGGAATAAAATGAAAGAAGGAAGGAAAATACAAGGAGGAAAACTTTCGTATTGGGTTTCGTACCTTAAATACGTTTCTTTGTTTCCGCGTTAAATAAGATTTTGTCGTGGCTCGATTTCAAAGATCATCTTCACTGGAAAAATTCAATTTCAGCGTTACACCCATGGAAATATTTCCTCGTCCTGCAAAAGCGTTAAAGAAACGTTGACTATCAAACCATCTTTAGAAACTCGTTGCTGATGTTTCTTCTCGAAGAAATGACGTAATAATGGAAGGACGATTATTATCATCATTATCATTATTATTATTATTATTATTATTATTATTATTATGTCAAATTGAAAGCGTTCTAAAGAATGCAATAGAACAAGTATGTGAGATCTTTTGATAAAATATAAACTAATCTCCTGAGAGATTCTTTCTTTCTTCGTTCAACTCATTCATATTTACTAAAAGAATTTATTTTCTTTTTTCTTATTTTTTTAATCTCTTTACGACGAAAAGTTCAACAATTACGAATCGCTTAACTCATCATTTATTTAACAACTTTTCAAAAAAAGAAGAATACAAAAAAAATCGACAGAGAGAAAGAAAGAGAGAAAGAAAGAGAGAGAGAGGGGGGGAGAAATAAAGAGAGAGATAAAAAGAAAGAAAGAGAATAATAAGTGAACGAAATATGAAAAACAGCATAAACCTCCCGCTTTAACGGTCACTTCATGATTTCGTAATAACTTCGATTGAGTTTACAGCTTGATCCCATGCTTCTCCGCCTCGTTCTGGAATTTCTCTTTGTATTCTCCAGTTGGATCGTATTTCGCAGACAATTTTTCCCAAAGTTTCGGTCGCTGAAACGTTAAATTCGCAAATTAAATGAAAAATACGTAAATTAATTAAAATAGTTTAATGTAAAATAAATGATATCTTTGAATCGTACGGCGCAATTTCATTCGGACAAAATAACAAAAGTATGATTGAAAAAAAGAAATAAATAAAAGAAGAAGAAGAAGAAGAAAAAAAGAGAAAAAAGTAATTATTAAAAGTAATTATTATAAAAATGTGAAAATTTCTTTCGAGTATGTTTTAATCAAAAGCACCGTTAGTAAAGTTACTTTAGTTAGAAAATATAATCAAATCGATGAAAAATATTATATATTTTATATATTATTAGAATCATAACTGAAATCGATTAATGCAATACGAACTCGACTAATTACTTTCTCAAACACCTTACTGCTTTATGTCTAAGATATAAAACTAATAAAGTTTTATAAAATATAGTATTTACGAACTAAGCTGTCTTCTCATTTCCTTAATCTCCTCCGTTTTTATCGAGGACGAATGAGATTCGATGAAATATCATTCGAAAGTCGATGAACTCTCGTGTACTTTATTATCCATCTTTGAATTTATTTTCGACTATTCGCCGTACGTAACGATTTCTAAATTACAAAATCTTTAATAAATTTCTTGTCTGAAATTACCGAAGAGAGGTGAACGCGAGAATTTCAACTCGTTCGTTCAGAATAATCAAGATAGCATAATTCTCGCGGTACAAATTACAAGTAATACACTTGGAAAGTTGTACAGTCATTTGAAAAGAATATTTTGTTATTACGTTCCACTATTGACATAGAAAGAAAGAAAGAAAGAAAGAAAGAAAAAAATAGATTCGTTCCGAAATAGAAAGAGAATTTCTCAAGAATATCTCGTTTTATCACTCCGATCACGATTTTCGAAGCAAGTATCGCCAGTCACGATATTTCTAACATCAATATTCCCAACGATTAACTCGAAACATGTATCTATAGATTCTTAGATTAACTTAGACCAATCTAACTTGCGTTCGAGTCCTTCGATGATTATTCTACTCGTTCAACATTCAACGAGCAAACGCGTTTATCCAAATCTTTGCTATTTCTAATCTTTGTTTTTTTTCTTTTTTTTTCTAATCATTCATCCTTAAGTACGAATTTGAAATTATTAACAATTCGTTATATCAGAATTTTGATCAATCATTATCCTTTTAACTTGGACCAATTCGTTTACAAATTTAATTGACATAATCGACCGTCTGTGAAAGTCAAACTAGTTTTCTCTGGGGACTCGAACTCTATTCCGTATATCCCTTCTCTTGTTCATTCGTGTTACATTAGACATACACTGTGTGTGTATGTGTGTGTGTGTGTGAGAGAGAGGGTAAGAGAGAGAGAGAGACAGTACGCAACTCGTTACGTTTACTCTTAATTAAGCTGGGGAAGGTGACAGAAGCCGAGGTGAACGTACCTGGTTGACAAGATACCGGATGACCTTCTCGCTGCCAGCCTTCTGTTTCTCACTACACTTGTTACAACCATTCGCCAATGCATCAGGGAGGGATTCTGAAACAAAAAAAAAGACAAAGAAAAAATCAGAGGAAGATATCATTCTTTGATCTCGTCATCGTATTATTATTGATGATAAATATTCCAATCGATATATTGCATTATCTTATTAAACGTAGAAATATTTTTCATATTTTTCTACGTTGTACGATAAAATTATACTTTAATGTAACGTATTAAATGCAATTGATATCATTCTCAAGTCTTCTGTTAAGAAATAACGACTTGTAATGTAATTCATCGTACGGTATGTAATTCATGGTTGCAACTTTACAAATAAATCTTGAATACCTATCCTCGGTGACTATCAACGAGTACAAAATTCCAAACTGATCGAATACGTAGGGGTTGTAGAAAGTTAGGGTGGAAATTAAGAAGGGTGAGTAAATTATCGAACATCATTGTCGAGTTTCGTAAGAATTTCACGAATTTTCACGAACAAAATAGTTGAATGTACGACGGAGTAGAATAGAACCGCGTTGTCCCGAATACAATGAAGAATTTATGAGAGGGATCTTTGAAAAGGGAAGCCGCTCGGAGAAAAACGAATGTGCATTTCACACGAGTTCCCATTGGCTGCACTCGTACAAAATTTTCTTTTTTCTTCTTTTTTTTTCTTTTTTTTTTTCCATAGCATCATACACGCATACATATATATATATACCGGAATCGATGCTTTCGATTATTTTGTAAACCGATTCGCACTGTTCACGTACAACACTCCTCTCGTTCATTCCTCACCCTATACAACGTTCGCGTTCATTTTTCGAGCGGTCTCTTTGGTCAACTATCGTTCGTATTTTTTGCAAGGTAAAACTGCGAAAAAATTGCTCCCATCGATCGTCTACCACAATGGAGAAGACTGCTACTAAAAACGTCCGCATTTGGAATAAATCTGCGTTTAACTATGCCATAAGTTCTACATAATTTCGTGCTGCAATAATAACAATAATAATAGTAGATATACGTAACTATTGATCATAGATTCATAAAACATTTCTTTTACTTTTATGGAATATAGCTATTAATCTAAAGTACTTGCGTTATTACATACGAAGCAACATTTACCATAGATAATAATTATTTATATTATAGATGTAAAAAAAAAAAAAAAGAACATTGCAATAATAAAATATATGAAAAATTAATGACTAATCCAATGAAAAATATTTACTTATTCACTTTCAAAAAAGTAAATATATAAATGAGAAATTAGAAATATTTACTTCTTGTATGAACGAATCACTATTATAATCCTTCTCCATTCTTTCTATTTTTTAGGATTAGAAGAAGCAGAAAACATCTTTTCCTTGCAAATCGTAGAGTAAATATCATGAAGGAGAACGTCGAACCGACAGCTGTGACGACTTTATCATATTTTTTCTTCGATAGATCCTTCTCATCCTCAAAGGATCCCTCTTCGTCCTTTTTCGTGGGATAGGACGTCTCGCGAGATAACGCAAAAAGAAAGAAAGAAAGAAAGAAAGTAAAAAGGAAAAAGAGTTTCTCAAGAAGAGGGTGGACTTCATAACGCGCTGTTATTTTGCCGAATATAAAGAAAGAAGGATAAATTTTGTTATACTTTCGGTTCAACCCACCTCATGGCCTTTCCATCCAAAAATCACTTGACGTTTTTACCCCGGCCGTCATTTGCACCAGCCGTTCTACTCTACCGACACTTCGGTGCTCTTGCTACTGGTCAACGTCCAAAGAAAAAGAAAAAGAGAAAGAAAGAAAGAAAGAAAGAAAGAGAGAGAGAGAGAGAGGAGTGAGTACCTCTCGAATATCCAACGCGAATTTCCTCTGAGGAGGACTACATATGTATGTATGTAAGTACCTACATATATACCTATATACGATACCATATATACGATCTATCGTCCATTGAAATATCCTCGGACGCGGACAGTGTAAGTCGAAAAAAATCAATTATTCAATCAAATATGATATTTTCCAATAATTTCGTATGTAAATTTTAATTAAGGTTTTTTCCGTTCTCTCTCTCTCTCTCTCTCTCTCTCTCTCTCTCTCTCCCTCTTCTTTTTTTTTGCAAATTTTCGAAATGAAAAAGAATAACAAACAATAATTTTATATTAAATTTTATATTAAACATCAAGTGAAAAAAATGACATTAAAAAGAAGAAGAATTCAATTTTCATTGAATATAATTTATATCCCTATGTTAATTAGATATATCGCAAAAGTTGAAACCATTAATTGCTCGTTTTTATGTTATACCTGTCGTTCTCATGAATCGCGTAAATGATCGATGGACTTGATAATTATCGTACTCGACTCGTTCTGACGTAAGAAAAGCTTCGAGATCGATTATTCGAATCAACATTAGCCAATAACTATTTCCATCTATTATCGCTTAATAATTCTTTGATGAAAAAGGAAAGCTTAAAGATGAAAATTTTTTTTCTCAAATTACATCGTTCAAGGTAAAACGAAATAAAGATATGAAAGTATCTCAATTTCCAATTTTAAGCCGCTCGGTCATGCGTTTAACACGAAGACTAATACGATCTCGGGAAAAAATTTAGATTACCAATGAGATCTCCGAGTTCCGTTCGTATTTGAATCAGAGAAAAAAGAAAAATAGCAGCGTGGTAAAGGTAAATCAGTTAAGACACGTATATATGTAGATGAATACATAGGTGCATTGCGTATATAAGGACCGATCCGAACGTTCGAACGGGGATCGCTTGCACGTCTGACGAATGAAATTTGAATAACCGGGATACGTAATAGAATTTACGCTTGTATGTATGTATGCGTACGTGTATACATATATATATATATATGTGTGTGTGTGTGTGTGTGTGTGTGTGTGCATTGCGTATATGTGTGCGTTCGCGCGGCCACAAGTCGATGTGAATAGTATGTCGAATATTTGAATATTTATACGATCGAATAGTCACGGCTCGGTAATCCTCCAAAGATATTAGCATAATTATAGAGATAACGATTCTGCGGAATTATAATACGTTGGACAGTTTCGAGAAGGAACAATAAGCATTCGCACGATGACGCTTTTGAAAGTCCTCTGCATTTACGTGCGTTTACGCGACTCTATCTCGATTTCTAGACGTTTTGAACGAACGACACGTCGATGGACCCGAGATAATTGCTTTACGTTGTAAATGCTTTCATACATATTCTAATCTACCTTGAATATTTCATCGAACTCATGTTCGTGACCTATCTATCTATCTATCTATCTATCTATCTATCTGTCCGTCTGTCTGTCTAACTTCTCAACGAAAAAGCAATTTCTCAATAAACGTTCGATCTGAACTGGTAATCATTATCGTTTATCGAATCAACGTTAATATTCATCCTGATTAAATCAATTCAATCGAATCATCTGTTCATTGCCGAACGTTGGACGTGATCGTTTCTAAAATTCAAAGTACATTGACACCGAAAATTATCTTCGATATTTCTTCGTCTAGAGGTCAGCAGACAATTCAATATGAAATAACGTATTATATATCTTTTCCAAAGAACAAGTAAATTATTTAATACTAGAGAGAATTTTCTTTTGTATGTTTTTCATTAACGCCAAGCTCAAAAAAAAAAAAAAAAGAACAAAAAAAGAAAGTATCATTTAAGATCGCACCGTTAAATCGTACCTTCGCTTATATTTGCTAAGAACCATCTAAAACTTAGTTAGCTTTAAGAGTAAGACACCAACTGAAACTTTTCGTCAAAGTTGAAATTCTCTCTCGGTGTCTAAGGGCAAATATTGAATATCCTTCCATTCTAAACACTCGATCTTCTTCTTGTATTTTGCAAAAATGACTTTAAACGATCCAAACGAATTCATTCCGACACGACAATTCTCACGTATTTTCGTTTCTTTTCCTCTTACATCACTCTTAGTTTCCATTCCTTCCTATCGCATATGCATAAATATTCAATAGACTACACGTTATTTACGAATTGCAAATCGTATCGAAGTTCGATCTTTCGAGAAGCAGACTTCTCAAAACAATCGCAGCTAAGAGGATTTTCTTTGCTACGGAATATCTAATAAGGAAGATCCGATCTCCAGTCTTTTTTCTCTATCTCTCTCTCTCTCTCTCTCTCTCTCTCTCTCTCTCTCCTTCTAATCGAGTAACTTCGAATAGAGTTAAATGAAGAATCAAATGGTAATTTTATCTATGATATAAATGTGACAGGAAAGTTTCAACTTATTTAATATTTATGAAATAATTAAGTTACACGTTTTTCGAAACCTGAGATAGTTTTACGATGTGAAGTACTATAATAAAACGTAGTGTATACTTAACAAGCATCTCTTTATCAAGAGACTAACTCACTAACTCACAACAACACGCACAATACAATGGTCCAATCAACAAACCGTTGTTCCGTTAATTAAATATCTGAAAAGCAACGTGTAAGAGAGAATGGAAAAAAAATAAACAAAAGAGTAAAGAATAAAACATAAAAAAATAAAAAAATCAAAAAAAGAAAAAATAATAAAAAAATCAAAAAAAAAAAATAAATAAAAAAAGAAAAAAAAAGAAAAAAGAATTCCTCTTTTAAGTGTAGATATATCTATATATATATATATATACGCGCGAACGAAACATTTTTCTCGTTGCGTTCGAAACGAATATCACATTCCCGTAGCACGTAGTATTTCGAGTATGTAAATGTGAGCCCGAGAGAAATAGAGAAACGTATTTTTACACGGATTTATTTCCAATAGATCGATGAATGTAGGGTAACATCGTTATATCAGTCCGTTTATCTGTTTTCATTCTCCTATCTTGAAATGAATTTCTTCATTTTTCGAAGAATCATTTTCATTCAGATTTTTTTCAATTCCGTTCTAGCAAGTTGATTTTATTGCATCGTAAAGAATCTCGTTTTCCTTCGATACAATGCGATACAAAAGAATTCGCGCAATGCATTGACTTCGAAAATCAGATCTCGGCTTTACACTCGGCAATCCTGTCGTCGAAGTTCTTCGTCTACGTCGAAAAGAAACATCTTGGAAAAGGATTCTTCATTATTGCCTTGTCTTCTTGCGATAGAGAAAATAACGTCCGGTATATCTCTGTTATCTGACCACGTCGAAAACTATCTTAATTAAAAATCGAAAATTTTCTCGGCTTCGTGAATCGGCGAACGAAGGCCCGACGAGTGTTCTTCTACCAGAGATATCGTTTAAAAGTATAGTCGAAGCTTCTCGTTCTACGATTTTACGAAAGGAAGAAATAAAAAATAAAGGAAAGGGTTAGAAAAGGGAAGGAAAGGAAAAACTTTAAGCTTTGGAAGGAACGAAGGAGCCACATAGAACATATATAGTCTACGTAGAAACAATAAAATTCTTTTTATGATCTCTATGAACGAACTCTTCTCTTTATATTCACTCGAACGGATTCGTCGAAGTGCTGGAACGACATAATCGTTGAAGAAAAAGAAAATTTCATGGAAGGGTATTAGTCCCGATGGGATATCGACTTTTATTAAAATCCATAATACGTTGGAATTTTTTTTTTTTTTTTTTTTTTTTTTTTTTTTTTTTTTTCAAATATCTAGAATAACTCTCTCGTGTTTCTTGTAATAAGATATTTTTATATCATCTATATTATCCAAGACGATCAACGCATTTAATCGAGAAAATTGTTTATCAATCGTATTAATTTATTTAGCAAATACTATCTACGAGATATCCAACATTCGTAAACTTTCTCATTCTCCGAAAGCAATAAGAAACTTGGAAATGAAATTTACGGAGAAGTCTCCTGTCTTTTCCCGAAGGAAAACGAGAAGATGCGTTTCAGGATGATGAAAGAAAAGAAAAATCAGGATATATATATATATATATATATATATATATATATATATATATGTATGTATGTATGTATGTATGTATGTATATACATGTGTGGATCGTAGAAGTTGGAGGCTCAAATTTTCTGGATGGTCAGCGATGTTTTAACGGTACTGCTTGTTTCTCCGACCTACTTTCACGACTTTGACCACGACGGCTACGACCTCGTCCAATATTTGACAGGGTTACACGATGCGTTTCTAGCAGGAGTTGAAACCAATAACAAAGAAAGAAAGATAGATAGATAGATAGATAGATAGATAAAGAAAGACAAGATGGACGAAGGAAAGGCATGCTCGGCTTGTAAAGAGATAGGAAAAGAAAGAGAGAGAGAGAGAGAGAAGAAAAGAATGAATGAAAGAAAGAAAGAGAAAGAAAGAGCACTGCTTATTGGATCTGGAAAAGTAGGAGTCCCTTGAGAGCAAGAGAGGATGAGAGTTACGGAATTCGTACGATAAAGCAGTACGGAGCAATGGAAGGATCAGGAAACTGGGAAGGACCGAATAAAGACGAATAGATAAGGATAAGGAAGGATTCATGGTGGCAAGAAAAGATCAAAAGTGCAGAAGAAAAATAAACTATTATAATTTTAATTATATTTTAAATATGTGCTATGGTTAAGTGGGTATAGTATTAAATTATTAAAAAAAAAAAAAAGTCCAATCAGTAACACGTTAAAACTTGACGACTTCTCGTTCTTTGAAGAAAAAAAAAAAATCTGCTATCGCGGCTAGTAATTTAAAAGAGAAGAAGGGAGGAAAAGAAAGCAGGAAAAAAGATATATAACGTTACTTAAAGAAGAACAATGAAGAAGAAAAAAAAAAGAAAACCTAAAGAAAGAAGATAGTGGATCACGTTGATGGGAAGAAAAAGTAGTGGTTGAAGAGCCACTGGCCCTTTTCTTGCAAGTTGTATTAAACTGCTGTCATGACAAAGCCTGTACTCGTTAGGTATATATATATATATATATATATATATATATATATATATATATGTGTGTATATGTATGTATGCATGTATGTAGGATAAAAGATAAAAAGTTTTTAAATGTCTCGACTACTCACTCTTGAGCTCGTGTCCATCGGGCGTGCAATTTCCAACATCCAAAAGACAGTTTACGTAGTTGTTGAGCAGACGATCACTCTTCAGGATCTGGTCCACATCGATGTTGTCGTATTTCGTTGTGTACTTATCCGCGGCTACGAAGCACGCGAGCATGGCAAGGAAAACTATGGCGACCTAGATTCGTCGAAAAAAAAAGAAGAAAAAGAAATAAAAAAAATATATATATATATATATAACAATAGAAAAAAAAATGTGAGCATTAGAAATGAATTTTTTAATCATTTTAAAGATTAAATTATAAGACCATCCTTCTTTTCATTGTCATACTTTATGACATTGAAATAAAATAAAAAAAAAGTAAATAAAATGGTAGATTAAATATCTACTTATTTATTTTCAATTAGTTCAGATAAGTTTCGTGGTTCGATTGATAAAAAAAAAATTTTTTTGAGAAAGAATAAAGGAAAGAGAGAGAGAGAGAGAGAGAGAGAGTGTGTGTGTGTGTACTTTTTTACAAAGAAATAACTCTCGACGAAGGCTAAGATATATTCAAGATAGAAATTCTGCATTTTCCACGAATAGCTCCCCAAGTGCATAATCGTTTGACATCATTGCACCGCATTCACGAGACCTTCGAGACGTACGAGAAAGCTGTTGTTGCTGTTTCTACTGCTGGCGAAATACTTATTTCGTAGGACGAGTGCACACGCGTCAGTGATAAATGGTCTCTTTATAAAACGGTAATCTCCTCGGTAGGAAAGTTGATCTTTTCCACGAAGAAGACACCGCTTACTCGATTTAACCTGTAAGCCTTATACTATTCGTATCTTCCGAGAGAGAATACTGAAGTATAATACGAAAAAAAGGAAAAATGAATGAGGGAGAAAGAAATTTGTTTGTGGAGATATCAGAATAAATTCCTATTAGTATGTACGAGGGGAAAAAAAAAAAGAAAAAGAAAAGAGAAAGAAGAAAAGAAAAGAATAATAAAAGGAAATCCAAAATTAAAACTGTATAAAAAGATAAGACGATTAAAAATGATATTAAAAGTAATTAAATAATTTAAAAGAAGAAAGATTATGTCTTCAAAAAAAAAAAAAAAGAAAAGACAGAAAGAAACACGGGCAGAGAAAAAAATTGTTTCCTATTTGAAACGAAATAGTATAGAATGAATTAATACCAATCATTAATACCAAATTAAATCTCAAGAATCTCAAATAAATAAAAAAAAAACAAAAGAAAAAAAAAAGAAAAAAGAAAAACAAAACTTAACAATAATGCATGAACTCATGAACTCTTTAACATTTTTCATTAATGCCAAGTCCCATTATTTTTATTCATATCTTAAGAATACTATGCACAAGGCAAAAGTTGTAACTCATTAAATTATTTTTCCACGGCGACTGAACAAGACGTCGGATGTGGCTCAAGGTTAATGGGAGATCGGTCACAAGAATATTTTCTGACTTTTATACTATTACATAGGTGTGTGTAAACACGTATATGATATACATACACATGTATATATGAAAGAAAACAAAAAGTGGACATGTCATAGCTTGAAACAAAAGTTAACTCTTATAAATATATAATCTTTGGCCTGCACGAGCGAGTTAAAAATTCACTAGCCTTGAAATATAAAAACTGAACTGACTAGCCTTGAAATATAACAAAATTTTATTATTCGTTTTGTGTCTGTATTCATTCAAATCTCTTTTTCTTTTTCTAGATTTGTCTACCCATTCATCTGTATCTCTCTCTCTCTCTCTCTCTCTCTCTCTCTCTCTCTCTCTCTCTCTCTCTCTCTCTCTCTCTCTCTCTCTCTCTCTCTCTCTCTTTCTGACGATTGAACCAGTGACATCACTTAAGCTTGAGATAAAAACTTTGGCTGCGTTACTTATAGAAATAAACTCGTTCGAAGAGTTATAAGTCGATTAATATCGAAAAAAGAACGATTCGACGTCACGGGATGATCATTTCTTGCACGACATCATTTCTTGAATTGAGGTCTGGCGATTCTCAACCATTCGGGAAGAGAAAAAAGTTATCCAAAATTACGATCACGTCGTAATTGGATCATCTTTGCAAGGGTTTTTCCATTAAATCGATATGGGTGTTGTAATCGTTTATTGTTCTAATTACTTTCGAACATTTCCTCCCACGTTATTCATATTTATATAATGAATTTTATTGTTATAAAATGTTTTATCATTACCTTAATATTTTAAAGTGACTTTTAACTCTACAAGTATTTTAACGTTAATTATCTACTTTTTAGATTTCAACGAAAACATATCTATAAAGGTATGCATATGTATTTGTCAAGAATAATATTTTCAGAATTATTTTCAAATAAAAGATAAAATGCGAAATGATTCAAAACGTCGAATAAAACGTTAACAAGCATTTTCACGATTCCATTTGAATTCTCTTCACTTGAATTAAGCAACACTCGAAATGGACGTTGCAAAAATAAAAACTCGAAATATTTCACGATCTTTTTGACAAATACTGCTTTTGTCTCTAATCAAATGATCCAATAAATTCTTCGTTGTCTGATATTTCCAATTGTTTTCTTTTCCATTGCTTGTCTTTATTACCCAGCTCATTTTTGTTTTCTTTTTTTTTTTGAATCCTTTTGAAAAAAATTAATCATAAAACTTTTGAAATTATACTTTTCAACGCGTATAGGATCAAATCGAAATTTAATGAAACACTTTCTTTCGCGAAAAAAGAATAAGGAATATTTCATGACGCAACTATCAATGAAGAAAATAAAATCACAAACGATAGTTTAAACTCGACATCGCGATAAGAAAAATAAAAAAATTATATCTATGTATCAATAGTCTTCGAAAATGTCAATGAATATTGTCACTTTGATCATTGACGTTTTATCTGTTTACTTACAATTAGTATAACTTAGGCAAAAAAACGAGAAAGGTTTGTCGCTACCCACGTATGTTGACTTTTATCTCACGAATAGAGAAAAGAGAAAAGAGAAAAGATCGAAGTTAAGTGGATAAAGAAAGAGAGATACGAACGCAATCCTTCGTTTCACGCTCGCGCACACGCGATTCGCATTATGCAATCGACGCCATTACGGTCCACGAAGCTTCCTAACGCCTTTCACTCTCGCGAACGAATTTCACTCCTTCGAGAACACCTTCGATTCTCCTTTCCTTTCCTCGAGTTTTCCTCGAGCTACGAGAGTTCTTCGTCGACTGATCATCGGAAACGAACGAAAGAGGCTCTCAGGATTAACAGAAGCGTAAAATAAAACGTCTAGCTTGACGTTCAATTCGAACTTGCAAAGATCAATGAAGAAATCATTATCGAATTTTATCGATAATCTCTGCACTAAACTTTTTCGAACGTATTTCTTTGTAATTATTTAATTATTCTATTTAAATCTCATTTAATAATTCTACGTAATTATTTATAATAATTACATAGATAAATACATTGATTTATTAGAAATATTAATCACAAGAGTTATGTTAAAGAGAAATGAAAGAAAAAAAGATTATAAAAAAAGTCATTCGTGTGGATTTACGTACATGTAAATTTATGCAAAATTTGCCCGTGGATGACTAACTGTCAAAGAAAATGATCACACGATATAAATGTTCCAACGATATAAAAGGAATCTTTTGCAAATTCGTTTCCAACGTTAGTCGCCCGTTCGTTGATTCTATTCTCTGTTCGACGCAAACACGTCCCGAAAGAGAACGATCGATAAACGACTCGCTGAGACAGCTGAGCCAGACGAATCGAACAAACGAACGTATCCTCTCGATATTCAAATCCTTTCGACTAAAAATGTCATTCGTTTCGAATTCGTCGAACTCGTTATTGGCTCATGGAAAGAAATTCATTTATGACTCGATGTGCAATATTTATCGATAAGAAGAAATAGAAACTTGGAAAAATTGATTGCATCTTAGAAGAACTTATATAATTGAAAAAAAGTCAATTCATTTACGTGTCTACATGTTTCAAATGATTTTCATTTACAACATAAATGCAAATCTTTATGAATAAAATATTGAGCTTCAATTAATACGTCCTTTCTCTCTCCTTTTTATTATTATTTTTTTTTTTTTTATATTTAATTAACGATGAATTTCTTTCGTTGAAAGAAGGTCGGAAAAAAGTCAAATGAAAAAGAAATGAAAAGGATTATTATTAAATGAGCTAGCATGAGCCTCCTCTTATCATATTTATGACAAGAAATCTATTTTAAGAGGGATATCGATGAGATCAAAAGCGATGGAAAAGTAATAAAAAATAATGTTCTTCAAAGTGCTTGCTCGCTTAGTCCTCAAGTTTCAAAAAACAAATATATATATTTGTGAGAAAGAGAGAGAGAGAGAGAGAGAGAGAGAGAGAGAGAGAGAGAGACAGTAGGTTCCATTCGAAAGTAATCGATTCACTTCCTTTCAAAAGTCTGAGAGCACCTTATCCGATTTGTGCATGAATTTCAGCACCGACGCGGCGCGAAGTTAATCTATCGGTCAAACAAACGCGTTCCAACTTTTCTTTAACTCCACTTCGAAGGAGTTAAATTCGTAGGAAGCACGATAACGAAGACGTTGTCGTATTTAAATGATTTTACGGAATTAAAAATCCTGACAATTTTTATTCTCTCGAATATAAAAGAGAGAGAGAGAGAGAGAGAGAGAGAGAGATGAATTAATAAAAAGAAAAATAAATAATTTGATTGAAACTAACGAATTTTAAATTAAAACAAAAATTACGAACATTTCGAAGTGTGTCGAACAAATTTCACAATGTTTCCAACGCATTTCAAATAATAAATACAATTTGAATGACTTGTTTATTAATAAAAAAAGAAAACTAGACGAGCTAAATTTAGATACAAAAGAAAATCACGCGAACTATCGTGTTTATATAGAATCGAAAGCGAAACGCGTGTCACGATATTGGAAAGGAAACTGAACCGAGTTGCTACTGGAGTGAGTCGACGATAGTAAAGAATCGTGGCGATGGGGAAAGGCTCTCTCGGGCTTACCTTCATGTTGCGCTGTCGTTACGTGTGTCACACAGTCACGGAGGAGTCGTGTTAAGCAACTGATGCCGGAGGTGCTCGTGATCAGCTGCTTTATACCCCGGCCGATTTCCCACACTGCCCGAATTCGTCGAATCGGTAGACGCCTCTTTTTTTTCCCCCAGTTAACACTTCTTTGTCCACCCTGAATCGTGTTTCGTCTCGCCGGGAGGATTATTGTGATTTCCTACCAATCGAAATCAAACAATTGTTATTTAAAAAAAAAAAAAAAAAAAAAAAAAGAAAAAAGAAAAATTAATAAATATTTCTTTTGTACAGTTTCAATGTACTATTTTATAAACACAATTAAGTTATACTAAAATATGGTATTTCACTAATCAGCTGATCTATTAAATCTATTAAATCGTTTAATCATTTCAAACGATATTTCATGAATTCTATTTGTTATATTTAAGCTAAAAGGAAAATAGAAAAATTGATAAATTTCACGTCCCTTCGCGCATTTAGAAGAAATCCAATTGGCATTGCCAGAATCCGATCAATTCGACTGGATGTTGTCGATAATAACATTTTCCCAGTACCCGTTGATTTATTTATCGAGACGTGTTACTGGCCAACGTCTCTCACCAAGACGAAATTCGAACGATACAGATGAAATATACATATCGAATATCCAAAACTGTTCGATGGAATACGATCGTCGATAGAGGAACGATCAAACACTATAGGATCGTTATGACCGCGCGTATTCGAGGCAATTCCCATTCTATGCAAATATTCGTATATTTCAAAAGTTCGCGAGGGGAAGGGGATTAGCAGAGATGAATGAAGGACAGTCGGATGTTCCACTATCCCTGGCTATTAAATTCGACATGCATATAGAATTTACATAGGGTTGACCATATAAAATGACCATATATAAAATCTAGTAAAATTATTTCTTTCAAAATTTATGTGGATTTTATTATTATATTAAAATATTTTTTATGAATTCAATTGTACACATTTTTTCTCTTTTTTATCTTCTATCTCTGTAAATTTTAGAATATGTAAATTAAATCGATCTAGTTATAAAATATATATATACATATATATATATATATATATATATATATATATATATATGTATATATATATGCATACATACATTCATATATGCATATGTGTCTTAGTGTGATCACTAAATCAGTAACCCAATATTTCTGTATTTTAAGACACAATTGACTATAATATCTCGAAAAGGTATATATATTGTATATCTATGTATATCTACGCATTTATAATCCATTATAAGTATTCCAAATATTACTCATCAGCTACATAATTAATCACGATTAAATGATAAACTTAATGCAAATGTATCTCAGGTTAATTAAAAATTACTTACGCCTACTATTTTGCAATCGCATACCTTTCTGCAACAATAAGTACGATAACGAATGGCTATAAAAGATCGAACGATGCAATTATTATAAGCCTTACCATTTAGTTTCTCTCTTTCTCTTTCTATATCTATTTATTTCTATTTTTCAAATTTTATTTCATAATTTTTACATAGATATAAATTAGATAACATATTCCAAATATTTCAATATATTGAAAAAAAATTTCATAGCGATTTCATTTGGCACAATGATATACACAAGTCACAAAAATCAAATTAGGAATTAAAAATATGATTTTATGTTGCTACATTATCAAACACAAACGAGAAAAAAATATATCGAACAAGAGATAGAAATTTTGTTGGGATTTCGTTAATCCAACAGATAGGATCGTTATATATTCCTACATGTAAAAAAAAAAAAAAAGAAGAAAAAAAAAGAAAAAAGAAAAAAGAAAAAAGAAAAAAGAAAAACAAGGCTAGCATAACGAATCAAAAAATAAATAAATAAATAAGCAAATAAATAAATAAATGCCACTACGTTTCGTTAACGTTCAGCTTTTGCATGTGACCTATACTTCTCTTGCTCGTTAGAAAACTTTAGTTGAATAAAGGAAAATAATATTTAGTCTTCATTAAGTTAACGAGCATATTCCCTTTTCTCTTTCCTTCCTTATCTTTATCTATATTTTATCTTTGTTTTTCTTTCTCGTTAACTTCTTGCACCAATTGTTTCCATCCTGATTCGAAAAACAGGTTAGCTGAGGTGAATCCTTACGATTAGCCTTACAGAGTCGCTATGTCGACCCATCGAGATTTTAACTCGATGCCCAATTAAAGGCTTACTAAGATTAACAGGAATGAGAATTCAAAGGCACGCGCGATCCTAGTTCTTAATCGGATGACCCAAAGGGAAAAAGTTTGCTGCAAAGAAATCTACCTCATAAGCTTATATAACTCTACTCGTTTCTTTGCTTTTATCGTTTCTATTAAAGAAATATTAAAAGTAAAAAAAAAAAAAAAAAAAAAAAAAAAAAAAAAGAAAAAATGAATAAAATTACTAAACATCTTTGTCATTCTTTAAGCAAAGTCAAATAAATAAAATTTCGAAGTACCAAATTTTTTATATATTATATATATACGTATTTGTTTACGCGTTACAATTGCTTTTTAATTTGCAACGAAACACTAACATCGACTATTAACATTCACATAAATACATGAATAACTCTGTCGTCAATATACATATGTATTAATTTATCTTTAGCCTACGCTCTGTGGTTTCGGAATCCCTTCTGTGAATATTTGAATGTCGCTTAGTATTACGACTCTCCTCGTGGAATATTCCACGAGGCAAAGAAAGAATCGAAGATTTCTCATTATCTATAAAAAAAATAATATACATATGTATAACTACGTGTTTAAATAAGTTATTACACTTGTAAATAATATAAGTGGCTTCTTCCTCTTATCCACTTCTTCTTTCTCTTCCTTTTTGTTATATCTTCAAATTTGAGTTTTTAATATAAATCGAATTTTGAAAATAATTAAAAAATTACTTCACACCGTGAATCCTTTCAATTTTCATAGATAAAGATTGAGAGAGCAAGAGAGAAAGAAAGAGAGAGAGAGAGAAAGAGAGAGAGAGAGAGAGAATAAGATTTCAGAATCTCTAAATAGAGGAGAATATCGAATTTCGATATTTCGATATCCGGCAGGACGTCTAATTCCGTTGACCGCGAGCTCGCGTTAAATTCTGCAATATTAATCAATTTGGCCGATTACGGTGGACGGTGTGTCCCACGAAATAGAGCTCATTAATAATAACCAGAACGCGCAGAATATGCCGGTACCGTAAGATTATTAATCATGTTCCTGACGTAAATTCACAAGGATAAAGAAGAGTCGTATGGATCGTCAGCGAACGTATGTATACTATACGATAATCTGAACGTTACAAAAACTAATATCCTATATCAAGATTGTTATCGTATATGTAAGGGTCAAGAGAGAACATGTACAACTTTTCATAAGATTAACTAAACATGACGAAAGGAGATTGATAAAAGAACTTAATTAAAGGTATAACATTCAATTTACGCAATTACTCAAATATTAATAATTAACTAATACTTTAGAATATTTATACATTTTGTAAAATTTATTTAAAACTATTATTATTTAATGCAATGAATAAAAACGGTAGATTTTTTGAATATTTATTAATTATTTATCATTACGATTTTCATATGAACGTCTCATAATATATAATGACTTCAATCTTTATTAATAAATATAAATAAATTTTCGTAAACAATTAATGATACTGACAATCGATTACCATCAATTTGACTATACTTTTTTCAACTTGAAACATTTATTAAAACATAGACAGCTATGTTCTATAAGTATAGAAGATTGAATGAGTCAATTGCTAATTTATTTTTTCTAAACATTAAATCTCATTCTTTATTACCAAAAACGTAAGATGCAATGGTAGAACCGGTTTTATTGTACTTTATAACTTGACTTTTTTCTATAGGCTCTTTAACATCTTTCTAATGTTGTTATTAGATCGAAAGGAAAGATCGTTTCCAAGAAAGGTACCACATGTTCGAACCTTATATACAATTCCCTATACAAATTAAACTACATTTTCTATTCTAATTAATTAATCTCACTTGAGATGCATTAGGAAGTATCGTAAACATCTATACGCACATATATATATATATCTATATACGTATGTACGTACATGCATACATACATAGGATAGTCGAATCAGAGTAAATTAACAAGGGACGCGCGAAATTGCGCTGGCCACGAGGGCGTCCTCGAGAATCCGAGTGTGTTGGATTATAATAGGGTTAACAACCGACTCTGAAACATCCCATGAAGTTATGGTAACGTAAATATAAGCCTTGCGGCAAAACGAAGAACTCGTAATAAACGTAAAGTTACATGTAAAGGACTCCTTCGTAGCGATCGCAATATTGAAGTATAGTACGTGCGGTATTAACGTGATTTCAAGCTTTGTCTACAATGTACTAGTATTCTCAAGCAAGTATCTATGAGTTAGTTTGCTAGTATTATGCTACCATACTGTAGCGGTCAGTATCCATTAAATACTGACACCTATGAGCACACGTTGCTTCGATACACTTTCTGCACTTAGGGAGAAGGTATTGCCGATTTCTATGTCAAATTTATTTATTATTCATAAATACGAAACAAATATTAATAAAATCACGATACAATAAATATTCTTTCGATGTTATTCGTGTTAAAAAAAAAACGTCATCTTTTTTACATAGAATTTTATATTATTTTATACTATACATACATACGTTGAATATCTCCGAATGAGTTTAGCAATGCATTATAATATGGCTTTCAACTTTTATTGTTTTCTTTTTTACCTTTCATTTCTCCTTTTTAAAAACACGTTACTATTGTTTTACATATACATATATGTATATGTATATATATATATATATATCTTTTTTTCGTTAATTCTAATTAAAAAAAAAAGATATTTACGTGTCCCATTTCATATAAATACTTGTCAACCTTCATCCTCTACACATGTATCACGTAGAGACTATTTGTATTAATTTTATCGTCTCTGCATATTTTTCTATGAGTTAGTGATGTAATAAGCGACGAGTCTGAATATTAATAATAATTAAAAAAAAATAAAAAGAAAAAGAAAGAAATAAAAGAACCTGTCCTATTGAACTCGTCTCTCGCGAGGACTTGAAAAACCTGTCCCCAGA